GCACTGCCACCGTTTGCACCTGTGCAGGTGGCTCCTGAGCCCGGATTCCTCAGGGACAGAGGGCACTGGCAGCAAATAAGAAAAGCACAGGAAGGAGGGAGACCCAGGAGAAGCAGCAAAGCCTTGTGCTGACGCAGCACAGCAGTTTAACTTCAAAGCGTAAACCCGGGTAGCCCAGTCTCCCAGCACTCAAAGCTTTGCTAACCTTTATCAGCCATTTGCTCCTTCCCTGGTCTCTAAGACTTAGAGTCCTATATCTCAACTAAAAGGAGTGCTTTTTGAGTAAGAGACATTGACCCCATTACGCTCCCATAGATTTTCAAGGGTTGAATTAACACAACAATCAGATAAGAGCGGCCCTTACAACCGAAGCCATTCATTTACTTCCAATTTGAAAGGAGGACCAAAAAGAAGGCGGGGGTCCCAACTCCTGTAGCCAGGGACTAAGTACCAAGTCATCCCTTCTTCTTTTAATTGTAAATACTAACGCCAACTAGCGCAGGGGCGGGCAGCTGGCCAAGAAGAGGAAGGGGCTGCCTGGCTGGAGCCCAAGGCACCATGGGCCATGGTCCTGGCCAGGGTCAAGTTGGGTGGCCATCAGGAATCCCAGGACACCACCACTGACACTGCGGGGGTGGGGGAGCCCAGCCTGCGGTCCACACCAGCACAATTCCACCTCCCTCCAGGCTCCAGCTCCGGGGCTGCCTGGGAGAACCCTGCCATCCAGTCCGCCCTGCACAGACCCAGCAGGGTCCTGAGATCTCCTTTGCGACCCTGACCAGGGCCAGAGATCCCTCCGAAGGCAGGGCTGAAGGGCCGGGGTAGTAGTGAAAAGGAGCACGGACCCAGCACACATTGTGACTCTGGGCAGTTCCAGAACCCAGAGGAACATGTATGAGAGGAGCCACTGTGTGTCTACCACCCCACCCTCCAGAGATCTTCTGCATTTGTTTATCCACCAACTGTAGCATCTACCTGGTATCTACCTAGTACCTTGCATCTGTCCTGCACACAAGTATACATACGTAGCCTCTGTGTGTGTGTGTGTGTGTGTGTGTGTGTGTGTGTGTGTGTGTGATGTCTTTGTGACAAGACAACCGTGTACAACATGACTTATCTAGACATGGATAACAGAGCAGAGCACAGCGCTGTCATGGTCACAGATTTGACCAAAACTTAAGATCATGAGAATCAACCAGAACTCTCAGCAAAAATCTTTGCAAACATAATGTTTCACTTTGTGTTTGTGAAAATGTTACCATTAAAATGAGACGCATTGCAGTTTTTAAAATAAGGCAGGTAAGCAGACCGTGCTGCTGCTCTTGAGTAACACAGATAGGACCCAAATGCATGTCTCCCGGCACCACGAGGCACTTTCACAATGCCTCCTTCTCAAGGCCACGCTGATTTCACTGGACTTAATTAGCAAGCAGCCAGTGCCTGATTTGGCAGAGCAGAGAATTCGGGGCAGAAGGGTTGTGCAAGCCAGAGCTCACCTTCCCCAACAGGGCAGCTCTGAAGGTCAGCACAGCTGCCAAGCTGCCCAGACCCTGCTGCCCAAGGTGTGGGCATTGTCTGCGACGTTGTTAGAAACGCAAATCTCAGCCCTCACTGTGGACCCACGGAACCAAGAACTGCATTTTAACAAGACATAACTCGGGCCACAAATGGGAGTTGTTTTGCTACATTCTTTAAAAAAAAAATGGCAAAAAAATTGGTAAAATAAGGTATAATGATAGCAACTATTTTTTTAACTTAGTGTCATTTCGAAGAACACTGTTTAGTGCAAAATGAAACCACTTCAAAGTACAGTAGAAGCAAATTGCAAAATTTTACTTAAGTTAATTCCCAATTTGACTCATTTATATGCTAGTGATTCTGACCAGCTATAATTCTCATGTAGCTGGTATGGTGTTCTTGGAGTAGGAAAAACTGCCGCAGTAAATTATTAGCTTTCTAAGTTCTGTGGCACAAGAGAGTAGAGCTTGAAAATAATGAATACCTGTTGCCATCACACCTGAACCATCTGTCAAGTCTCATCATGCTTTGGATTTTCACTCTCACAGCAACTGGAATATGCAACTGTTTCCTCCACTACTGAAAACAGTCTGGAGACGTGGACATCATTTACGGTCACCAGAACAAGCCAAATTTGAGCAGAGAGCACTCTGCAAGCAATGTCTTCATCCAGCTACTCAGAACCTCCACCTATGAAGTTCAAAGGCCTATTGTATACAGAATGTTTCCTTGGGAGAGGAAGAGGAGACCAATTCAAGTCCAAGGTCAGTATTGTCTTGACATTGTTGCTTCTGCCTTCTCAAGGCAACAAATAGTAGAACAGGTACACAAAACCCAACTGAATGATACTCTCAGAAAAAATGACCTTATTAGGGCAAAATTAGTCCTGGTTGCCCTACAGTGCAAATCGTAACTAAGAATCACTCCTCTTCCTCTTTCACTTTTCTCACTCACTCCACACTGCAAAGCCATTTTGTCTCTACCTCCAGAATCTCTTTCCAGTCCACCTATTTCTCTCCCGATTTCTGGGCATGGTTATCTCCCTGTTCTGCCACATGTAGTGTTCCTAAGTATCAGGAACCTATTTCTGGTTCCTGCCTCCGCTTTTACTCCCTGATAGAGACAACTTTGTTTTTAAAGTGTGCAATAAAAACCCGACTAGCCACTCTCCACAGTCTAAAGAAGAAAATGTGAGATAATTAATCCACAAAACCGAAATGATTCTAGTACACAGCTGAGTGATTAGCCCATCCCTTCCGTGTGAAATCTCGTGCACGGTTATGTGTGTCCCTTTATGAGTCTACAATCCTCTTCCTGGGGAAATGACCCACTCTAATCCACACAAAACGGATTCTAATAGGAGACGCTTGAAAATTAGTGCCGTGGTCCAAAGATTAGAAAGGAATGCTCAACAGGACCAGGAGTGTTTCAGGCTACAGTGCTGGAATCAGGTAGGAGGAAGATTTTGATGTTTTGTGCTCATGGTGTAGAGGAATCTGCAAATCAAAAAGGTGGAGACATTATTCCTGCTAAGCTCACAGACTGGCTTCTTAGCTCTGGTGCTCCGCATGTCATGCGCCTGTGGAATTAGCCTTCTGCCTGCCGGGTGCACTCTGTGAGCACACTGTCCTGTTTTACACTGCACAGAGGTGGCCTGCCCGGTCCTGGGGGCTGTCTGTGCTTCCTCTGGGCAGGGCGCTCCTCCAGCTTCTCACCCTGCCGCTTTTCCTGCTCTGCCTCTTATCAGCTGCCACCCAGGATGCACCCGGGAAAGGGGTGCAGGGGAGAGAAAGAGCCAAGGAGAAAGTTGGAGTGGAGACCAGCGCAAAGGGTGTAAAATGGCTCCGGAGTTCTGTCCAGGCCCAAAGCGGTGAAGAATAAAACTCAGGGTTGCTTTTCTCATCTCTTTCAGATGCCATCACATTTTGATCTCTTCCTGGGTGTCTCTGTACGCACCAGAGGCTAAGATTTTGAGAAAACCAGCTTTGCCCTTCAGGAGATTCTTACATGTGACTTCTTCTTTCCCCATGGTTGTTCAATAGAATCAGAGAACGGTTATAAAAAAATCTGTATGTGCTGTGCATAAGCAACTGGCTAATTCAACCCCAGCCAGACCAACCTAAGGTATGAAATGGGGAGATTTGGGAGACTCGTGTTTTACTGCAGTGTTACTCGTGCTTGTGACATCTGACCTGTGCTGCAACGCAGGTCAGGGTGGGAAATCAGAGCAGGAGACACAGCCTTGGAAGGGTGGTGATGCACGTCCTCAATGACCGGCTGGTGGGACAACCTCTTCCACTCCTGTAACCAGGGCTTGCTTCTGCCATGGCTCAGGAGAACATTCCAGAAGCACAGCCTACATGGGTTCAACCACCCAGAAAACTGGAAGATAAGCTGAATGTGCAGCCCTTCCTAAATCACGCTTTGCCTGAATTACCCTTCAAAATGTAGGAAGCAGCTTTGTAAGATCCACGAAGAGCCATAGTGGTACATCAAGTGGAGACGGATTTCTTCTCTTGGATACACAGGAAAAAGTCACAACAACCGTCCTCTCCTGGCAGCCTGGAGTGTGGTACAGGAGAGGCTCGCACAAGCAGGCCTACAGCCAAGCCCTCAGCACTTCACTGGGCAGCGCAAGCTCAGGACCTCAGGCGGCAGGGAGGATCGGGTTGCCATGGTGAGGACAGCTCAGCCTTCGTTCCTGGAAACACAAAGTCCTACTCGGACTCCATCCTTCACAGCTAACGAAAAGCTGGAGCATTCACTTCATCTCCATGGCTGTCAAATATGTATGACCAATCACCCCTTTGCTTCCACACATGATTTCACCCAAAGTGCAAACACTAATAAACCCAAATAGGTTCTTCTTAAAGTAAAGCAAAAATTGGTGTTAGGAGCTGAATTCTTCCAAGATCGGTCTGTGGAAGCCATAACCTCCATTCCTCAAAATGTGACCGTATTTAAACAACGATTGCTATAACCTAATCCTGCACACACAGAGTCCTCACAACCCTCCATTCCTCAAAATGTGACCGTATTTAAACAACAATTGCTATAACCTAATCCTACACACACACAGTCCTCACAAGAACAGAGTGATAGACCACAGACACACCAAAGGAAGACCTGGTGAGGAGCCAGTCTAAAGATGGCCAACTACAAGCAAAGGAGAGAGGCCTTAGATAAACCACCCTGCTTATAGCTGGGCTTGGACTCCAGCCTCCAGAACTACGAGATGAAGCATTTTTGTTGTGCAAGCCACCCAGTGTGTGGCTCTTTGCTGTGGCAGCCCAAGCCGACTAGCACAGAAGCTTGTCAAAGTGATGTGCACCCCTGTCCAATGTCCCCTACTCTCCTCGGGTCCTACAAAGAAACTCTGACTCTTTGCGGAATGCTGCTGTCTGAAAACCATTGTTCCAAATCCATTCCATCATCACCGACGCGCAGAATGAAGTTCACATTCTGAAGCCAGTCCGCAGACAGCACCCAGCACAGCAACACTCTTGATAACTGAGCTTGGCAGCACCTATGCCCCACGGCACCTGAATGGGGACAGCTTGACAAGTGCCGGGTGCTTTTTGGATCCAGGAAACAGAGGGAGCCTCTGGCCTCCAGGGTTAGTTCCTACCCATTTTCCTTTTTTCCGTCCCCACCCCATATCAGACATAGCTCCCTGATCATGTATATTTAAAATCTGACTTAATTCACAGCATACCACTTGTGCTTATGTGATAAATAATTTTTCTTTCCTAACACAAAATTAAGTGTGACAGCTAATCTCACCACATGATTCCAACGACTAATCCTCACAAATGTGGTGTGATCTAACTTTTTCTTTTCTGAGAACACAAAAGACACAGAATCATGGCCTCTCTCTGTTTAGGAGCCCAGCCATTAGGGCGAAAGGCATTTTCTCTCTTTCTCTGTAGGAAGCAGACTATACTCAGAAGAAGAGGAATCAAACAGAACTGACAGTTTGACCCTGATCAGTTCATCTGCTCCGTTGTGTTTCTTTTTACCGAAATACCATCAAGAATTTGTAAGAGAAATAAAGGATCTGTTAGCTCATTCAGAGGCAGCTTTCCTAGAAGCAGATTCCAACCACCACTCTAGGGGTCTCGGTGAAGTGAAGGGAAGGAAGGAGAAACAGAGATGCAGATGCTGGGCCTGTTTTCCTCAGCACCTAGAGTCTGGAATCTGGCCCCGCCTCTCCACGGTACGAATCCCACTGGCCACTCAAAAGTCTACCCAGTCTCCACTCCCCACCCGAGTCTCGTAGTCTGCTGGGGCTGACTGGTCGGCAGACTGCAGGCCTTCAATAACACACTTACTCCTGTCAGTTCTGGAGGCTGGAGGTCTGTGACTCAGGGTGCAGGGCTGGTTCTTCTAAGGCTTGTGCATGGCCGGTCTCTCCCCGAGGATTTAGAGCCTCCTCTCTGTGAATGTCTATGTCCTAATCTCCTCTTATAAGAACACCAGGAAGATTGCATTGATCTAATCTAGATTTGATTTAATCTTAATCACCCAAATACCGCCAACTTCCGAGATGCTGGAGTGGGCTTCAGCACTGGTCTTCTGGGACACATTTGAGGCACAACATGGTGCTGCCTGACTGCCAGTCTCTCTGCGCTCCTCCTCCTCCTGCCCAAACCACAGGAGCTGACCTAGACGGCCGCCGTCCTCAGCGCACTGCCATGGTTCTTTCCTCTTGCCTCTCTGAGCGACTCAACTCCTCACCGGCAGAGACATTCTGTGTTTCTTCTTTATGGGGCCTGGCATGGAGCATTCAGGAGCATTTGCTGGTTCAGATCCACTTTTACACCCTTCATGGGTTCTGTATGCTACAAGCATCCTTATCACTGAGCAAAATCTTCATTTTAAATCTCTGTAATTTGATATAATCCCACTCGTGGGATTGTTAGTGTTATTTCTTGTGCAATTGGAATTCAGTTCAGAAAGTCCTGGCCAATGTCCAACTCAAGAGTTTTACCTACTTTGTCCTCCAGAAAACTGTTTGTTTTAACACTTAGATCTTCGATGCAATTTGATTTCAGTTCAGAGCATGGCAAGAGGTCTGAGTCTCGATTCAGTCTTCAGTTAGCACTCGTACTGCGCCTGCGTGGGAGCGGATGGCACCGGAGAGACCTCTGTGGAGAACGGACCGATGAGGCAGCGGTGACAGGAGCAACGTGGGCTGCAGTCCAGGTGAGACACCGCCATGCGTGCAGGAAGAGCTGCAGAGGGAGGCAGCCCTGGAGCCCTGAGGGAAGCCACGCTGGGTGGTTTCGGATGGGTTTCCCCAGAGGGTTGTGTGCCCGGAGCATGGTCCTCAGCGCAGTGGAGCTGGGGGGCGGTGAGACCTCTAAGGGGCTGGACCGGGTATGTATGGTAGGCCATAGGGGACACCCTCGGAGGGACTGAGGTCGCCTTCATGGGACTCTGAGTTGGTCCTTGCAATCAGCGAGCCTCATCTGTCCCGTCTCCCTGTTTTGCTATATGGCCCCTCTGGCTTGTGCTCCTGCGTGATGCCGTCCCCTCCCACCTCGGCGTCCTCATCGGAGGAGGCGCTGGAGCTGGGCACGCAAACTTCCGGGACTGCTTTCCCACGAAGTCCCAGCCCGGCAGGAGTCCCACCGTGGTGTCCTGCCATCATCCTGGAGCTGCTTCGTGTGACTCTCACTCTCGATCCCACAGCTGTGCCTTCAGAAGGCTGCCCTTGCAGGCATTCCCTTCTCTTTTCTTTTTTCTTTGCGTTACTGGGGTGCAAATCCAGGACTCACACATCCCCGGCCTCTTTTATTTTTTATTTTGAGACAGGATTGCGCTGAGTCATAAAATTGCCAGACAGAACTTGAACTTGCGATCCAGGCCAGTGCCTTTAAGAGCTACTGCTCCACACACCTTCCCAGTTCTTGCCAGTAAATATTCATCAGGTTCTGCACCCCTTCTGGCGAATTGCCCACTCCCTCTACAGCTAATACAGGGCATTCCAACCCACTCCTTGCTGAGACCTGTCTATGGTTTTGGCTGTAGCCTTGAGGTGAAACAGGAGCAAGAACTTTATCTCCCAGTGCCCCTGTCTCAGCTAGTCTTTAAATGATGTCCAGGCAGTGCAGAGCTGTTCCCTACAGCAGGGAGAAAAGGTCACTTCCTGATGGCCAAAGGGATCAGGACGAAGTAGCAACCCATTCTGGGCACACGGTCCCATACTCAGTGGCAGTGTGAGCCTTGCTGTGACTGACAGTCCAGGCTCCTCTCTGACTTTGGCACTGTACAGTAACAGCCTGACCCTGATTCCTAGCAGCCTATCTGCTCTGCTGGTGTAGGGCCTTCTAGCAACCCTGCCGGGGTGTCTTAGGGGCTTTGGTAGTTGGCTAAGTGGAGCCTGGGGTTTTATGGCAGGTGACAGGGATGCCAACTGCACCATTACTGTCACCTCACACAACCAGGGAGACGCTCCCCTAACCTTACCTGCTGTAGCCTACTGCTGGTCACGACAGGCTCCAGCTTTGGGAAGCATCGCCCTCCCCTGAAAAGAGTCCTCTTCCAAGGTCCTGCTTTTAAGGGCTACTTGGTTAAGATGTCCAGCTGGCCCAGTTTGCCCAGGGTCTTCCCAGGTGTATTACTGATGTCCAGTTCAGGGAAAACCTCCAGTCCCTGCTGCACTGGACAGCTGGTCACCCTGCTTTTGCTCCCTGGTGAGTCCTGGGCGCACACCTCCGTCAGCAAGAAGGAAAGGGGAGGAATGTGGCACTCTGCACCTGCTGGCTGTGCCCACAGTGCTGCTGCAGTGAGACATCAAGGAAGGGAAGCCAGTCACACCGCTTCCTGCTTGGCCGTTTAATCATCAGCTATAACCATCACACTGCCCGTAAGACTCGCCTGGGAGTCAGACTTGCCTGCGAACCAAAGGCTCCGGAATAACTGCCCGTGGGTGCGAGGCAGCCGAACACGCACAGAGGAGACAAGAGAGATGCCATTCTCATCGTCCCCTCTCGCAACTTCACCCCACGTGCTGCCGGATGTCACTGAGTCGCTTATTCCTGCAGCCTTCTGCCTGCTCTCTCGGCCTCTGTGCGGGGGGCTGTCACACATGTCTGAGCCTTCCAGGAGGGCCCTGTGGTCCAGGCTGGGACAGGGCCGGGAGGCAGAATTGGAGAAGTTAAAATAAAAAGACTTGGGCCGGGGATTTAGCTCAGCTCAGTGGTTCTGCCGCCTGCCTTGCGAGCACAAGGACCCAAGTTCAAGCTCTGCTACTGGCAAAAAAAGAAAGATTTCACAAGAGAATGAACAAATCGGTGGAGTACAGGGACTGAAAAGTCAGTAGGGATAATGAGGTGATTCAGGGGTCAGCACCGTAGGAAGCAGTCACCAGCCCAACGCTGGGGTACAGAGGCCACTCTGGGCCTGGGCCCAGAGCCCTGAAGAGAGCAGGAAAGAGCACAGATGGTCACTGCCAGGAACGGGGAAATGGCTGCTTCCCTCAGTGAAAGTCCAGCCCGTGAATCTGCTCCCAAGGACTAAATCTAGTCAGGGAACCAGGAAGCTGGGACCAGCGCCCGCCGGGGTGATCCCTCGGGATTAGAGGGCAAGAGGAGGACAGAGACTACCTCAGGACAAAGCCATAGCCCTCACTGAGAAATAGTCCCAGGGCTCCTGTGTTCCCTCCTCAGTGGGCCATGTATGACATGAGCATGCTCATGCGCACACACATGTGTGTGCGTGTGCGCATCCATGTGAGGTTTATTCACTCGTCGCGATTGCTGAACACAGATGAAGAAATTAGGCTTGGGGAGCTGTGTAACTTGCCAAGAGCAGGTTGTAAGTGCCGAACCAGGACCCGAGGACAATTCATCAGCCTCCACTCTTATAGACACAGACCAGGGACCAAGACACGGAGACTGTTTAATTTTTGCTCACATTTGAGCAAGTGACATTAGCAACACTAAGTAATCATTGCTTATGGCCCCTACCTCTAGACTTTGATAGCAACACCAATTAATGATGCCTTGGGAGCATTTTTTCCCTATGACCACGATCCACCTCTTTTTGCCTGATTGGAGATGCAACAGTTTTACTTTATTTAGCAAAGAATCTCATGCTGTGAAAGAGACAGGTAAAGGTGAAGCTTTAGCAATTTAACAGCTCTACACAGGGCCAAGCTCCAGCACAGCACGGCTCACTGAGCTGTTCCTTCATCTAAAGGAAAGAACAGAGGGTCTATTAGAAGCCAAGATCAGCGACAGTAACTCTAAGCTTCCAAATTAAATTTCTCAGCCTGAACATGAGCTCTCGGGGGCTGCAGCTCCCAGCACAGTGGTTTGCAACAGCAACAGGCTGGTTGGTACCAAGCTGATCAAAGAGCCCAGCTGGGTGTCCCAGCTCCTGCTCTAGCTAGTGCTCCATCAGATGTCCACACTCAAAGACGAGCAACTATTCACTATTCATGAAGACATTGCCTGGGAGGTTTGGCCACAACAACATTTTCATAATGATTCAAAGCTGAGCTCTAAGAGCCACTCTGCCTCCACTATTTCCTTCTCCACCTCCTCCTCCTCCTCCTCCTCCTCCTCCTCCTCCACTTCTGTATGTCTAGCAGCGACCCCACTAATTTGACATCACTGTCTGAAATGTGAATGTGAACTCTGAAAAAGTAGAGGAGTAATAGCTGCAGACAGAAGGGATGACAAAGCCCAACTCACTCCTGTACTCTTTTTATGCAAGAGAATTTCCTAGTCCGCCATGAGGATTTCTGGAGTGGAGAACTTCAAATAAATGTCTAAGATGACTCAGGCAGAGCACTGGAGTGTGGGGACTCAGGGAGGCCATGAGACCACCCCAAAAAACCAGACTCTGCCCCTTATCTGAAGATCCACCTGCAGAAACCACCACTGCTCTCCCTTCATTCGCCTCCCACTGGCGGAAGAGAGTACATTTGTCTCACACATTACAGTTTAGAACTTGTCAAACTCACTATCCATTTCACCCAAGGTTGACCCCACGAAGACACATCACATTCCTCATTACGGAAGAGAAAAACAATGAAAAACAGAGCCTGCAGTCCAGAAAATGTCAATGACCTGCTTCCTTTGTCAAAGCTCTTAGCTCAGGTGCATGATCCTAGGCTGGTCCGGCTGATTTGTTTGTTCTTCCTCTGAAAGAGCTGCTCCACGGAGCACACTCCGCAGATCCCTCACCCCTTTCCCTACAGTCAAACCACCCCACCCTCACCTAAGGCTCTCCTTAGGAGTCTCTGACTTATGAAGGAGCCGCGAGAGGACCATGAGAGGATGTACCCGATCTACGGAAATGCCATCTACAGGGAACTGCAGGCCAGGTCAAGGTGATGAACGTCCTTAAATTGTTAATAAATCAATAATCATTTTTATTATGAAATATAAAAGTGACCACAATGCCGCTTAAAAAGATGAAAGTGCATTGCCCTTATACTCTTGCCATTATGATGAGATTTCTTATGAAAACTATAACTCCTCTTCCTTCCTCTATTTAAAAAACCAGTGCCCATCTTATTAGTGAGTCTGGAAGGAAGACCTGTTTACTTGGAGACAGTTTATGGTAGACCAACCTGTGAATTGCATTGTGTTTTGATAGCTTCATTTTCCACCGCAGGGAGGAGGGCCCGGGAAGTCCCTCCTTCCCGGGGCACCCTGAGCAAGGGCAGTGGCTTTTCCTGATGAAGGCTAGCATGCTCGCAACCCTTACTGCAATTCCGTCCTCTGCTCCTTTGTGAGGGCAAGGCTCAGTGAGGCTGGGCTCGTGCGGATGATAGGCTCAGGCACCACCCATATGCCCTCCTCTGTTGAAGTCAGATGGAAATCTTTTGTCACGGTTTGTGTCTAGATGTCCCCCGACCCCAAAGCCTCATGTGGCCAGAGGTGGGGCTTTTGAGAGGTGGCTGGATCTAGAGTGTGTGATGCTAGGCTTAAGTGTGTAGTTCTGGGATTAAGGCTGTGTGATTACTAAATTAATCCCCCAACTGGTTTGGCATAGCTCTGAGTGTGGATAAGGGGAAGGTCCATGCTGGGTGTGTATGGGTCGTGCCACTCAAAGGGTGGATAGCCTGGATGGATATAAAGGGACAGAAAGAAGGCAGGCATGCTGCTGCTTCTTTGCTACTTTGCTGCCTTCTGCTTGCCATGATCTATTTCTTCTCTGCAGTGCTGTTCTGCCGTGCCGCCCTGCCTTGGGGACAGCCAACTACGAACCGAAACCTCTACGAACTGAGCTACAGTAAGCCTTTCCTCCTTTAGCTTCAGATGTTAGGTATTTTGTCTCAGCAACACAAAAGTAACTGAGATGCTTTCTTTCCTGGGAAGCTCTAAGTTTTACCAATGCTCCACACACAGGTGATGGTTTACCTGAGCCCACACAGGTGTTCGCTGAAGGGATGGATCCAGTGCTTTCTGCTAACCACTGTTCAACGGCATCATGTTTGGGTATCTCGTTGACCTTTCTCTCAAGCTGTTATTCTCAGGTGCAATAAAACTCCTAAGGACACAATCAATGCAACAGATTTCTAAAGGTAACGGGTTCTAACACAATGCCCATCACACTACTAGCGTGGTGATAGAATGGGCGCTTATTATTCCAATCCCTCTCTGGAGCAGGTGGTGCTGCTATGCCAGTGAGCCACACTGTGGTAACCTCTTTTCAATGAGGTGGTTGCAGAAGTTCTGATTAGCGTTTGCATGCAGCTGGCACCACACCAGTGTCAAGGAATGACATCCCCATTCTAGCTGCTGACAAGAAGCATGCTGTTCAGAGGAAAGAGGTGCCTAAAAGATCTAGGTTAGAACTCTGGCTGTGCAGCTGCCTGCTCCCTGCCCCAGGCACATTATTGATGCATCTAAGCCTCAGTATCTTCTCCAAGTCATATCTGCCCCTACCCATCATTAGGCTCATGGCCAGGACCCCTATAGAAAGAGACACATTAACAAGAGATCAGCATAACAAATGTATTTGTTAGTTTCATGGGACACAGTAGCCTTCAGAAATGAAGATGCCAAGACCCGGGAAAACCGCAATTTTATAGGAGGACAGAAGGGTATGATCTCATAGAAATGTACTGGACAGAAGCTAGCAACGCCTGTGGTTCGGATTCTTCTTGGCATCTCTGCGTGCCACTTCTCCACTGGGTTGAGCAGGGATATGAGAGGCTCATACTCAAATGAGGGTCTCTCAACCTACTTTCAAGAAGGGTGGGTCAGGGCGTGATTTTATGTTGGGTTCTCAGGGGACGTAGGTGGGAGAGAGGGAGAAGCAGCTTCTTGCTGTCTTCCTGCTGTCTTCTCAATTTCTGAGGTGCCACAGTTCGCGTACCATTTCCCGTATCCCATCCACAGAACTCAAAACATAAACAATTTAGAAATTTAGCTGTCATCCAAGGTCACAAAACGGTCTATTCAACTACATTTCCATGGCCCGTGATTATTTGTGACACACTGCCAGCTGTCACAAGTGCAGTGCCAAACTTAAAATTCAGAAATACATCACCTTTGAATTACAGACCTGCTAGCTCAGTCTCTCTTCCTAATACTTCCATCCATTCAGATAAGAATCAAGATCATATACTACAGAAATCTATCTTAACAGCATTGTTGTCTGTGTTTTTATCATAGATTGTTTTTAATTTTAGGAAAAAAAGCAGGAGATAAATCCATACCTATATAGATACATGCACACACATACATCCTCATTGTACTAAACCCATTCTAAATTCCTTTTAGAGTAGTAGTCAAAATGGAAGGTGGAAAATTGCCATGAATAAAACGTACCTTCCATACTGCACTTGTTCTCTACGTCAAGAATCCATAACAGTGAAAAGACAGCCAACTGGGGATGAAGCGGACAGTAGTTTGGGTTTGTCTTCAGTTTTTTCAGTTTGCCAATCAGTTTTTGAAAATCAATTAATCTGTGTTTAACTTCCCCTTCTAAGTACTACTTATGTTGTAAAATAATATGCAGTAAGGTACTTTAAAAGGTAACAGCTATGTAGATACAAGGTGTTTATAAGTATAATTATGTTCCTTGGATATAAAGTACTGAGGCAAAAGACATTTTTACTATCATAAGAAATACGCAGGAACCAGAATTGTAATCTAGCTATCTTTTGTTACCCATATTATAAGTGGTACAAATTCAATAACTGACATTTCTAATGAAATACTGTACCTGGCAATTACTTTAATAACTGTTCCTCTAAAGATTCATAAATTTCTCCCTTCAAAAATGCCTCCAAAACAAATTTACTATTGCTTCAGACTGAAATACCCTGTGGTAAATATAAGGCATCTCATTTCAAAGTCTTCTTCATTAAAACAATTCATAGGTTACTCAGCTGTATCCTGAGTTTTTCCTTTTCCAAATGCTGATAGAAATGGGAGATGTAGTAATATTTATCAATATTACTCAGTGCCAGGTGGCTGGGCTGTGCATTTTACATGTGACCATTGTCAAAAATGCAGTTATAACACACAGAGAGATATTAATTGGCTTTGCTTATAATTCTAGACTCAGACAACATTTCATTCCATAAAATAGAATAAATGTTCCTATGTGCTGAGGAGAGGAGGTTGGTTTTAAGGCAGAAAAGGACTGAAGACATCAGAAACAAAGAATAAATCAGCCTGGCCTTTTCAGTTACTTCCCTTGCAAGGCAGGGCCTGGGAGACAGAGCAGCAGAAAAAACGAGAGATTAGTACCACCAGGCTTCTTCAGGTTACTTTTTCCAATGAGGATTAAAGCCGGGAATTCATTATCATGCCAATTAAACTGGCCTGCCTGAAAATTTGACTATCTCTCTGTCTCCTGATTTCTTAGAAAGTCAGATAACAACTTGGTTTGGATTCAGAGGAGTTTTTGTATAAGTGACTCCGTTTTGATTTTCAGCCTGGTCCACTGGGCCCCAACGAGACAGCTTAGTTCAAAATAATGAATGATTTCTGTCATTTTTACTTAGCACACACAGACCATGCAATGAGAAAACTGAGGCTCAGAGAGTGTCTATCTCCTACCACCGCTGAGCACAGACTCAAAGCCAAAAAACATTCCTTCAAAGCCTCCCCTGATCACCAAGATTAACAGTAGCTAACTTAAAATAGCAAGTATGTGCCTCTGTATCATTCAATTAGCTTATCAGAGATACCTCATCTTTTCTTCTTCTTCTTCTTCTTTAAGAAAAATATCTCTGGTTTTTCTCCAAATAGCCCTAAACCTGAATATTTTGCTTACTGTATTAGTCATCTTTCTGAAGCTGCTACAACATGCCCGAGAACACCAACTTACAAGGAGAAAAGATTAATGGTGCTCTATGGCTCCAGAGGCTTCATACATGGCTGCTTGGCTCCTCTTTGCGGGGAAGGAGCAGTAACCAAGACACAGAGGGACAAGAAGATCCCAGCTTCCCAATAACTGACTCAGAAGTCAGGGGACCCTGGGGACCCAACTAAGGACACCAGAAAGGGGAAGGAGCTATATTCATAACTGACACCAAAACCCTGCACCACAACTTAAAGGAGAGGTTTTATGTGGGGCTCACAGTCCATCTACATTTACTGGTGTACAGCATGGGGGAAGGGCCTGACAGAAAGCTGCTCACCCCACAGCAGCCAGGAAGCAAGGAGACTGGGAAGAGGAAGAGCAGACGCCCCATCTGGAGGTCCACCCGAAAGAGCCACATCCTCGGCCAGGCCACACCTCCTAACCTTCAGCTATGACCTCACCAACAGATTGATCCACAGAAGCGAAGAGTGCCCTGTGACCATCACCTTCCGAAACCCCACCTCTGAACACGTGAAGCCCTGAGGGTAAAGCAGGAGATTAGGGCACGGTAAAGCTGGCTGGGGATGTGGATTTTGCTACTGACAAAACCCCAGGACACATGTGCAGGACAGTTCCAAAAGCCCTGCACATGGCCTTGCGAGAACTTGAGCAGGTTTGAGACAGAATGACCTAGATCTGATGTCAGGACCTTGCACTTGAGAGGCTGGGGGCGGCACCACTGAGCTAAACCCCCACCCTTACTGTGTTCTCTCTTGCACATGGCCTGCCTTCACACCGCAGGGTGCACTTGTTTTCCTACTTTTGCTTAGCCTGTTTCTTTTCCTACCTTTAGTAAAACTTTGCTACCGTTTGTGCTCATCTTGACCAATTTTTTGCTCAGGACAAAAAGAATCTAGAAACTACCTCCAGTACCCCCAAAACCTGTTAACAGGGGACATTTTCGATCTACACCATAACCTCTCTACTGTGGAGAGGCAGCTGTTTGCCTCCTGGCTGGAAGGATTGCATTTTCTGATTCTGATCTTGTTCAAAGAGGTCAAGCAGTGAAACCACTTTTTATACGGGAGAGTAGTGAAGCCTACTGAAAAAGTTTTCCTAGGTTTAAACATAAAATTCTCCATGTAGCAATGGGGCTCCCACACTAGAAATTTACCATCTTATCTTTGAACTTAAATTACAATTTTGAAACCTTTAACTTTTTAAGAAAAGGCCTCCACATAAAACATCACTGCTATAATGACAATACTTCTCATCTGGGATTTATGGCAACTAGTTTGTTTAATTTGCTGAGGAATGCCAGAAGGAAATGCGGGGTAACCACAGAAGAGAAACTACCCAAGACAACTCTTCAGTGCCACAGAGGAAACAAAGTAGGAGGGAGGATAATTATCTGCTGCAATTCTAATCCGAGATTTCTGGGATGGGAGCACAGCGCCCTCACCCTGGGTTAGCTGAACTAGACATCCATCAAAGAGAGCATTTTACTTTCTATTCTATTGATGATATCCCATAATAAAACAATGATTTGCATTTCTATGGTGTCTTTCATCTCACAGGACTTCATAGCTGCTAAATTATTTAGCTCTGTAACAACTCTGAGAGGTGGGTTTTTTATGCTAACCTCAGGTATTGATAAGCGAAATGACCTCGAGGACAGAGCTCAAGGATCCTGGAGAGCAGCTGACTGGCATTTCTGCTGGCTCCTCTCTGTGGTAAAGCTCATCTGAACACTTTGCTCACCCAAACAGATGTTTCTTTTTAAACTCTGATCAGAATCACCCCCTCAGTATGTGACAAAAAGAATTATTCAGCCAAGTAAGCCCCTGTGGAAAACAGCATAAGCTATATGTGATTTTTTTTTCTAATTTCTTTCCATTATTAGTGAACAGCTCATCCACCCTCCTCCCAGCTGCTCTCCCAGGGAGGAAGAACTGGGACAGAATCTCATTCCGAGACACTGGTCCACATACTTCACAACCATGTCGCTGACTTTTACATAGTCATGTTTCATTTATGAGACTAGTTCAGCACTTGTGTACTTAAATGTTATAGTCTCTCTCTGGATAACAGAATAATAATGACAGACATAATCTTGTATTCAACCTTCCTAATCTAGGTCACCCCAACTGAGCCTGTGGAAAGATCTGCAAGGCAGGAGGAGAAGGAGGTTAGGATATAGAAAGCTGGTAATTATTTCCCAGGATAGAAAGGATAAGGAAGAAAAAGTATAAAAGAGTGATCATAAGAATACAAAATTAGGGACCAAGAACTCCTTCCAATCTGTGAGCCATCTCCCATGTTAAAATAATTGGGAAAGCTCCAGGGTCTTTGGTTCCGATGTAAGCAAAATGAGTACCGACTTGGTGTAAATAGTAAAATGAAATTTGGGCTTCATCGATCAGAAACCACCAGCTAACCTCTAAGAAGAAATTTTACCACCAAAAACCACTAACCAACATCTAACTAGAGGCTTTGCACTTTAACTAATCAAATATTTTCTTTGTCTTGCTTCCATGAACATCTTACAAAAGCTTTTCCCTCAAGCCCTCTGGCGGAACCCTAAACTGCTATAATCAGTGCGGTCTGGAGGATGAATCTGTCTACTCGAATAAATGTGTTAAAATTTTAATGTGCCTAAGTTTATCTCTCAACATCCCCCAAATATGCCTTATTTGAATTTAGGATGAGAAACAGATTTTCATTTGCTAATCCAAACTCCCCCAAAGAATATTCTAGAATGTCTTCCAAAAATACTTTTTACTTAAGTCGCATTTTTTAAGAACAAATGTAGTCTATTAATTGTCGTATATCAAATCAAAGTTTCTTACAGTTTCTGTTGTGGAGGTGATGGGGGGGATTGGAACAAAGATATCACAGTGTCATTTATTTGGTTGTCTGAGATGTAACTGCTAACTACAGAACCTAGAAGATGTTGGTTACCTTATCTCTCCACATTGAAAGAGATGATCCATATTGGGGCAAATGAGAGGCACGAAGTGTACTGTCCCCAGGGCGTGGGAAAGCGTCAGGCACTGCTCAGTCCGTATTCACCATCGGAGGGAATTCTGTTTAATCAGGATGTAATTGGATATTGTGGGTAAGATGCTCCTTTGGTATCACTATATTTATCTCAAAATACTGAACATAGCAAACTAAAAATTAAAAAAAGAGAGAGCAACAGCCCAAAACAGCTCCCATGTTAATGAAGATCGGAGCCTTCATTCTTCCTCCTCTGTCACTCTGTATGAGGACTGTCGGGGTCCACACAGTTCGGAGCGGTACTAAGAGAAAATAGCTTCGTTTAGAACACAAAATCGCTTATTAGCCAGCTGCCTTGCTTTTTACTTGCTGGACAGAGTGTTTTAGAGATGATGTAATAGCGTGTGTTCGAATAAGTTCTATACTAGTATGAACTATTTTGAGATGAAAGTAATTTCTTTTCAGTGATGATCCACTCTCTTTCCTGAACACACTTTCAGAATTCTTACACATTTAGTGATTTACAAACAAATTATCCCTGCTCCCTGACAGAGTTTAATCAAATAATATTTCCTGAAATATGTGCATGGGGCAAGGAGAGGGCTGCTCTAACTGTGGGAGATTCTGTTACTCGTTGATGCCATCCCCATCAGAGAATTTACTGTAAAGCTCATTTTCTATCATTTGCAGATTTTCCCCTAGTGGTGACACTTCTGGATTTGGTGTATTGTTTCTAAATCTCGATGGGGAGGGTGCTGAGCAGAAGTGCCCACAGTACTTATGCAGTTGGATAGTCTTCTCCGCAACGCGTTCAGCCTTAGATTTCCAGCCTGCACCTTTGCCACGCTCAGAGCAACACACTGAGACTGGTTTTCTGACCTTTAGTTTAGGAGGTGCTCAGAGCAGTGCCACTTGTTTGAATTTCTCTTTCCAAACCATCCTTTAACCCTTTACCCTATTTCCTTTATCATAATTAACATTCTCCATTTTATTAAGATGCAAAGGCTTTGTTCTCTTGGCATGGATATGAATGAATCCTTCTACCCCATGAGGAACAGCAAAAGCAAAGGAAAAGTAGAAGTTTGGACAATGTATGAACTGCATAAAAAGCAGTTGTGGAGTTCACATTGACAGAACCTTATCTAAGCCATGCATTCACCAGTCCCGACTCTCTCTCTCTCTCTCTCTCTCTGCAGGACCATACATCTCCAAGAGTGTCTGTCATCCGTGGACGTCAGCACAAGGAGCAACTATTCTATTGTGCTTTGAGGAATTTTTTAAGAACTTAAACCATTTAGGAATTAGGAAAACTACATCATTTGTTTTCCATCTGTCTACATCAACTGAGGCCAGGTAACCCATGTCTGGGCATACAACAACATGTTATGGGCCTCTGTGTGCTCGTATGAACCTCTGATGTGTCTGTATGTCCCCAGGGTCAGGGAGAAAGCAGAAAGGAGTCCTTGAGGTGCCTGGGAAGAGGAAGCAAAGAACTACTTTGCCTTTTCCAGGACATTGTGTAAGTGCCAGGTGGATTGCCTGGAACTCATGCAAGTAACACTCAGATCTGGAACTGAGACTTGGATTAGATCCTGAATCCTTTTCTTACTTCCAGTGACACTTTGAGAAGATTAGCCAACCCAGAAAAAGCTCAGCTTTCCTCATCTAAAGTAAAAGGGATAAAGCAACCCACAAGGTTGCTTGTGGAAGTCACTGAAATAACACACGTACAGCCCCAGGTGTTGGGTCTGCTCCCCAGCACGGCCTCTGCCTCTGTCTGACTCCAGCCAAGGCTCCAACTCAGTGAGCCAGCTTGAGGGAGGCTCCGGGTGCCTTCTCCACAATCTTCAATCAGCAGCAGCCAGGACGCACTCAGGCGGGAGGCAGTGGGTCGGGGAGGGAGAGTGCATTTCCAAATCTGACAGCTCCAAAGCAAGAGATCACAGGGTCACGGAGCCTGTCAGAAGGGGCCAGCACCCTTTCCCTTCCTGGAGGGCTGTCCGTTTCTGGCAGTACAAGAGAAAGAAGTTAGTCTTCCATTGACGTTCTGGTTAGCACCTAACACCAGGCTCACTCGCTCGGCAAGCCAGCCAGAGGCCTCACCCATGAGAGGTCAGGGCAGAGCTCACATGGATGGAGTCTTACGGAAGGCAGTGAACTGCAGTGGCCACTCCCCAAGCTGGGCTTTAAGAAAGCCTAATGATCTTGTGTCCGTTGGACCTTCTTTTGTCACTTGAACTGAGATCAAATTAACGCAGCAAGTAAGCAAGCGACGGGACAGCATTTGGTGTCTACTGTCAGAGCAGCTACTCCCGAGCTTCCTTCCATGCCTGCCTCAGTTTATTGACCCGGCAATGCTGCACTGATTCCGAAGCAGCGTGGCAAGGAGCAAGAGGCCTGAATTCCATATGTCTTCGACATACTGACTTCAAATCCTTGCAATATATTCCCACAGGTGGGCTTGCTAGACCCAGAGGAGGATTGACACCACACAGATAAATTTTTCACATTAGCAGAAGTTGTGTTTCTTCATAAACAAAACTGGAGACGAGCAAGTAGAAATTGGATCGGGACCAGTTGTCCGGATAAGGTAAGCTTGTGCCCAGGAGTAGGCTGAGAGGCTGAGCAACAGTGGAAATCAATACCAGAAAGGCTGACGATGCAGGAAGAGGTGTAGGCTGTTGGGGATGTGTAATGCTTTCCGAAGTTTTGTTTGAAGAACTACTTCTCTACCTTGTCTCAGTCAATCTCAAAGAGCAACACCCAGCACACAGCTTTGGGGCTTGGCGCATCGCGGTGTGTGTGTGAACTTCTACTTTTAAGTTAGCCATGACTCCCCCAAAGAAGTGGTAAGCTAGTAAAACAGAATACTTTGAAATCAACTTGGTAAACATTCCAGTTTACAGAAATAGAATCCTTGCTCATTATTTTTCCTTTTGCAATCTTTAAAAACAAAGAGGATATTTATATCCATGACTAACAATTCATTTTTAGAACCAGTCCGATCTCTAGGTTTATGGAGTGAATTTATAATGTGTTGCATTTTTAAAAATCAGTTTATTTTATGGCTGTTTAGGCTCAGTTTATATTTAATTTAATGGGGAAAACAATGACAAATCCAATACTGATGCAAAGGTAGTGTAAACAATATAATAAACAAGATGCTCTTTTCTCTTGGCTCATGTTAAAGCTAGACTTACAGAAAGCCGTACTTAATAGCAAATACATTTGTGTTGCGTATTGAATTCCTAAGGGTAAAAACCTTATCTGGATAGACTATTTTAAGATGTAAAGCATAGTTCTAAGTATCTAAAAGTTTAGATAAATCGAGCTTAGTCAAGTTATATGAACATATACAAATAGCTTTCACTAAATTAATTGAATATGAAAGACTAGAATTCTGTAAAAACAAATATTTGTGGTTTGGGTGGTTGCTACTGCAGTTAGAATGCCAAGCCATTGATTTGAGTCAAGCTCTCTGGTTTGGCATTGGTTACAGCCAAAACAACAGCAAGAAAAATTATTTCAACTGCCAATTGACAGGCTAATAGTTTATGTTCCTAATAGAATTTAGACCCATATGTTTTAGAGAAAAGAGTACCATTTGTACACGTGACATCCCCTATTAGAAGATGAGAAATAGTGACTCAGTAATAACCAGAGTTATTTTTCAATATAGTCAATAATCTGGAACATTTCTAAAATTCTTAGGGGATTCAGTCATCTTATTTGGTGACCAACAAACTGCTTTGTCATTTTCAGTGTCTACTGCACTTTCAGCTGCAAATTTCTCTCTGAATTAATAATTTAGCTAAAATTTAGAGAAAAGTTGAGTCTAAATATAATCGTCTGTTTTCACATAATTAAAAAGGTATTGGAAATGATCCAGAACCAAAAAAATAAAACACACAAATAGCAAAACACCTGTCTTGTACATAAAAAGTTAAACTAACACTGTCTTAGAGATCTGGACCTTAAATTCTCGGGGAATTTTCCCCCATTTTTTCCACACTGACTTAGCACCCTCCATGTGGCAGTGTGCAGCTTGAGACTTTATAATTTGGTTTGAATGTTGTGACTACACGTGTTCTTATTATAAATGCTTAGTCCTTAGTTGAAACTATTTGTCACAATAATACCCTGTAGTGAAGACTTTTACAAGATAATTACATCGAGAATAAACAATACAATGTTTCCTTTTATTTGTTTTAAATGGAAAGCCTTCTAATTTTATCACCTGCCTTTTGTTCATATATTATTGGGCAGGGTAAATAAGAGCCACTGAACAGCCTTTCTAAATCGTTTGCTACTATACTTTCTCCTATATCCTGAAATTAATGAGCAATATTTAGTGCTTTCCATCTCGTCACTTTGTAAACATCACCTTCCACTGCCTTCTACAAGGTGGAAGAAACATTGAGCCCAGTCTTTCTGTGCCAATGCTTTACAAGGTCACCAAATATTCCTCACCCAGAGATGCTCGTGCTGACTGGCAGTAACCCCATTGTTATTATTATTATCATCATTACTGTCGTTATTATTTCCCCTCTTTGTGTCTTTTCATTTTCCTGTGTTCCTCGCTTCCCTTGTCTTCCTTCCAACACTTATGCAAGAGTTACTATGACTATAATGCATAACAGTGTTAATCTCATCTTAAAAATTAGAAAAATGAGATTTTAGGATGTTAAATAACTTATCTGTTGGTTTGTTCTAACAACGGTGAAGTGGGAACGTTTCAGGCCTGTCTGAGCCCTGGGCACATGCACCCCATTTGTTTTCCATCCTTGACAAGCCTCTTTAGGATGCCCGTCCGGCACCGGGCAAGGAAAAGCAAAGTCTCACTGGAAAATGCCTGGCCAGCCTCTAGATAGTTCCACTATCCTGTCCACCCACAGAAACCCCCCACCCTGTAGATCCACCATAGCATCCCTGCTCCTGTACAAGGGACCAGCTGCTCTTCCCTGCAGCAGCACTCCATGCCTGGGGGAAAGGTTGACTTCCAAAGCCCAGTCAAGGTGCCATGAAAAGAGCTGTGTTCCAGGAAAGCCTTTGCTTTTTTCCCTGTTTCTGTTGTGAGTAGAAGAGGACCGGTGCTGAGAAGACGTCTCCCATTCCAGGATCCCCACAGTCCAAGACTCTAGCTCCATCTTTCCTCACCTAATATTTGGGAAACCAGCCCTGTCTGTCTCTAGCTGTTGGGAAGTTTTGGATAGGCGAAGCACTAGTCCTTGTGGGCCATTAAAGCTGGATCATTGAGGTTTAGATAGAGCAGAGCAAAACTCACCTTAATTTCAACAGGTAATCCTTGAAGAGTCAAGATTTGAACTCGTTATATTCTGTCCCTAAAAAAACAATGACTTTCCAAATATCCCAACTTGGTAAGTGTAATTAGGTTATGATTACCACACAGTCACTATTTGACTTGTTTGCTATTTTAAAGAAATTATACGATGGAATGTTTTAAAGATGTGCAGTCATAATTCATATTTAACCATGTTTGATGTTTTTCTCTCTTGATAAATCAATCTCCACTATTTTTGAAACTGCAAAACTTTAAAATAAATTTCAAACAACATACCACTTCAACTATGTATTTTATTATGTATCAAAAGCATTTTATACTTAGCCACAATTCCATTATCATGCTCAACCAAACTGACAGCAATGCCCTAATAATATCTAATATGTAGTCTGTATTCAATTTTTTAAATTGCCCCAAAATACATGTATTTTTGTGATATCATGATGCATTGTGGGCCGCACCACACTGGTTAGTAGACTTAGTCTGTAAGCGCTTTCATCTCTAGCTTACTTCTTTTCTGTGGCATTTAGTTGCTGGGCCATTTGAAGAAGGGACTGAGTTGTTTGCTCCGTAGAATTCTTGCCTTCTGGGTTTGGCCATTTGTGTCTTTGTGATTCCTCTGCCTGCCACGTGGCCTAAGGGTGAGTCTGGTGTGCGAGAACAGACTCAGCCCTGGCAGACACTCCTGCTTCTAAAGAATGCCATATATAATGCATCTCTTCCGTGATTAAGCAGAAAGGATGCTACAAATCCATTTTGAACACAGTCTCTGCTTGTTACAATACCATCATTTGGGCACTAGACGCGTCAGTGTCATCCTTTCCAGTTCCTTAAATTTAAAGAAATAAATATAAATAAAATCAAAGTGTTTGGATTTCAAATTTCAGCTTCCACCACTTAGGCTGGATTATAGCACAGGCGCCAGTGTTCCTGAGCGGTTATGATGTCTCTAGACTCCGTCACAAGCCGCTCTTTTATGCAGATTCTCCCGTGAAGTTCTTTTAGTTTCCTATGAAGCCTGATTCCACTTCTATGTAGCAAATCCCTGTTAGACCTGAATTCATACCAGATCATACCCACTTTTCTAACCAGCACCTTGACTGTTTCTTTGCAACCCGAACCTACTGGAACTACAGTCAGACTCAAGGTGAGGCCCCAGAAACCAAGCCTCAGCCTACAGTTGCTCTGTACTCGCCAGTGGTACCACGTTCAAAACATTCAAAACCTGTAAATAATCTTCATCTCTCTTCTCTCTATATCCACTTAGCATTGCTCAAACAGTCCTTTTTTTTCACATATAGAAAAGATGTCCATCGTGGAAAGAGCAAGGGTAGATATTGAGAATAAATGAGATTCCCCATCCTACCTCTGTGTGCATGTGGAGGGCACTGAGCCATACGAATACCACAGAGATGGAGGAGGACCTTGATGAGCAAGTGCGTCAGAGCTCGTGCACCTAGATGAGTCTCCTCCTTGCAGAGTAGTCTGCTTCCGCATTAGTTACTTTCCCATCACTGGAACGAAATACCTCACTGACCAACAAATTAAAGGAAGAGTGATTTACTTCGGCTCACGGTTTCAGTGTGTTCAGTCTGAGGTCAGCTGAATTCAAAGTGGAAATAGCATGGTGGAAAGGCTTAGAGGAAAGAAGCTGCTCATCCCACGGTAGCCAGGAAGAAGAGAAAAAGAGAAAGAGATGGAGGAAGCAGGGAGGGAGGGAAAGGGAGCAGGACAGAAGAATACGCTCCCAGGTTATGTCCCCCGGAAATCTGCTCCCTCCAGCCAGGCTCAGTCTCCAAACATGAGACATTCGGGGGACATTTTAGATGAAAACCTTAATGCTTACTTACTCAGTTCATGACACTTAATTACTTTTAGCTATTTGCAAAGACCAAATTCAGCTTCTATGACAAAGACTTTCTATCACTGAGAAAAATCCAAAGGACATATTAAGAATCCCAAATCTCTAAAAAGAAGTTCTAAAATGTTGACTGGTTCTTTGGAATAAGTGTATGACTTTCCAATAGGATGACTGAAAACATTTTATTGTCTTCCTTAGTGATTTGTGATGCAAGATTCAGTGTTCTTAGATACTGCTGAATAAACGTCAGTATCCTGACGTGAATACTGTGTGGATATTACTCAGTGTTATATTGTACCACACTTATAAATACTGTTTTAGTCAGTTTGCAAGGGAAATAGATTTAATATAGGACACACAACTTACAGGATTACTTTAAAATAATCACCCCAAAAAAGTCAAATGCAGAGGAGTGCAAGAGATCTAGCCACACCCAGGCTTCCCAAAGTCCACTGGACCCAGGGCTTTCTCAGACACTTCTCCCAAATGCATCTCTCCCCCTCCCAAGTCAGCTCATCCACCAATCCCAGCTTCCTCTGCTTCTTCTTCGCGAGCACTACGTTTCTCGTGTGGCTGGCCCTGGTTAAGCATTTGTTTTTGAGGTTGTAATATAAACTAGTAAATACCTGGCAATTTAAAATCTCATCTGAGAATGAATGTGTCCCATTTGTTTAAAATTATTGATATTTTGGTATGTATTTCTAGTGTGTTTGATGTTGTCCATTCACTATTAATTACCCATTCAAAGGAACTGCTTCCTTTGCTTCTTTTTCTCTGCCTCCTCACTTTTTATGGGTTGATGAAATATTCTGCATTCTTAACTTCCATTGATTTGGAAGTTACCTGGCCTAGCTCTCATCTCCTGAGATTCTAACTGATATAAATTTTGATTGTGTTCCTTATTATGCCCATATTTCTTTGTTACGTATTTACCTTTTCCCCTCTAACAGCTATTTCAACCTCAGATTATGAACGAATCTTTTGGAAAGAAGGAAAGCCCTGGCCACTGACCAAGCAGCCCTTCAGTCTTTATCTGTTCTGCATAATTCTCTCACTTAAAGCTTGCCTGTTCCTTCTCTCTGTATTTATTCAATTTTAAAGTTGATTTTCAGTCTTCTCATCCCACTTCTAGTCAGCCAAAGCTGCTTCTTTGCCCAGAGCTGTAGGCTTGGGGGACATCTCCTTCCAGATCGCTGCCAGGAGAAGGGGTCAGTGGGCAGGTAACTCACCACCGGCTCTCCAGGAGAATCTGCAACCTTGGATCTGTCCAAATGACTTCATCCCACTGCCGGGGTTTCATAGAAGGCAGAAGATTCTTCATGAAGCAGTGAACTTGCGACATTTCTGTTTTTAGGGACCTTCTTACAGTGCTCTCCGTGTTGTCTGACATCTGTCTCTCCAGCCAAACTTTAGGTCTTCCTCTTGGAGCAGTCACTGAGCTCAAGCTTACCAGCAAGACTTCATAAGTTTCGAAAAGAGAAAACCGTTTACCATAAGCTTTTCTAAGCTTAAAGTTGGCATCCAAGTGAGTGCTTTATTTAAACAATGATAACAAGGTTCTGAGAATGAGGAGCCAGAGAGTGGCAGTGCCTAGAATGTTCTCTCTTAAAAATCCCTTCAGAAAGTGATGGTTCCCTTTGGCATCCACAACCACAACTCAATCTGTTAGGCAAACATAAATTAAAGGTCTGCTTTTTGTTTTACTTCCTTTCCTAAGAAAATTCAGACTATATAAGAATTATCTTGTGATATGTGACTAAAACTGAAAAGTAGAGCCTCCTGCCCCTAAAGTATATTACTTAACCCTTAGTAATTATAACAAATTAAATTCCTGTTCTTGATCTTTATCTTCAATTTGCTTTTAATATCATCATGTATATCTCTTTTCTCCAAAAAAAAAAAAAAAGAGTATGCTTTATGCTAAGCTAAAACACATAATAGAAAACTTTAGCATCTGCTCTGCTAACAGTTAGGTTTGCTGGCGCAGGGGAGAGCCTACTGAAGTTATGAATGTGTGCATCTGAGAGAAGCACAGAGTGCTACCTCACTTCTTTCTTTTTCTTCTTTCCCAAAGGGATGTAAAGTCATCTCCGGGAGGAGGAAAGCAGCAATTTCCTACCTCAAGTCACACACAAGCAACTCCCCTTCCTCCAGAAGCCTCTGGTCTGATGTCACTGTTACCAGCACCACCATCAGGTCTCACAGTCTTCATTTCTGAAAGCACTTGTGCTACATGAAGCTCATATAATAAATCATCTGCTTTTCCCTTATTAACCTACCTTCGTCAGTGTTTACTTCAGACTGTCATGGTTATCTAAAGTGTCCTGGAAAAGGCTCGCTGCATTAAGGTCTCAGATGCCAGCTGATGAGCTTTCAGGAAGTCATCAGATCATAAGGGCTCTGACTTCATCAGAGGATTCATCCACTGGTGAGGTCATAATTTAATGTCATCATTGGGAGGTGACAGAAACAGGGGTGGGGCTGAGTCGAAGGGAGTGGATCATGGGGCTACGATCTGGGAATATCTGTGGTCCCAGAACGACACGCACACGATCAATCCCTCTCTCTCTCTCTCTCTGTCTCCCTCTCCACCCCCGCTTCCTCACTGCCATGAGATGAGCAGCTTTCCAGTGCCTAATCAGGAGCCTAAACACAATGAAGCCATGACTGTGCACTTATACTTCTCCAACCATAAACTAAAATCAGTCTTTCCTTCTTTGGGATTTTCCCCCTCGGGTATTTTGTTACAGTGAAGAAAAGCTGATCAACACAAAGACTCAGACACAAACCCCAAGAGGGACAAAGAGAAGTCCTTCTCCCCTACACCAGCTTCTTCCAGGAGATGGGAAATCCATGGTAAGTCTGAGCTGGCCGCTTCACAAGCAGCTGTGCCCTCTGGATCCTGGCAGTTTCCATCCGCTCTGGTTGCCACAACTCCCCACACTTTCTTCCTGGCCTCTGGGGCACATGGTCCATTGCCCAGACTCAATGTCCCTTCACTCAGTTCTGTTGCTGGAGCTTGGGCATGGATGGAATGCAGGCCTCTGGAGGAGCGAGAACTCCCAGAGCGTCCTCCCCAGAGTGCGATGTCTCCGAGCACAGAAACAGACCTTCCAAGCAGCTCGTGAGCATTCCACCATCTTCAGAGCCTGGGCTACACTTGTGCCATCTGCATTTCCTTCCCATAAACAAGGAGGTGGTGGCTGTGTTGCTTCTTAGATGTTCTTCAGGCGAAGAAACAGGAAGGCCTGCGAAAATTACTTGGAGAAGATAGGTGTTAATCTGAACCGTGATTCTGCTGGACACAGCAGTCAGCTTGGCTGACTTATTGGGCTTTCTATTCCTAGGTAAACTGGAATCATCTTCACTAAGCATGGCAAGGACTTCAATGACCTCTCCAGAACCTTCCCTTCCTACCCAGAAGACATCTTAGCTGAGTCATTCAGTACTTCCCATCCATTTGGGGATCTAATTCCAGATCAACTTCCAGGAAGACATTGCCCTCTGAAGAAATGATCATTAGAGTTCAGAGACTCTCCTGCCTCTTCCTCTTCCTTGTGTCTCCAAGTGAAACAGTCATTTACTCACACAGGAATGTAACAGCAAATTTCCTGGATTTTGGAAGGGGAGACCCAAATCCTGGCCGCACAGATGGGCACGGGTCAGGGGCCTAGCTTGGGGCAGGAGGAAAGGTTGGCAAGGCCAGGTCCAACCGCAGGATGATGAAGGCCGTATCCTGCTTTAATTCTGTTCACTCTTATGGGCCTCATTAGGCGGAAGGACTTGCCTTGCTAGCGACTTGTTTTAAGAATCCCAAAATTCAAATTGCTCTCATCTAATAAGGCATCAATCTAAATAAGCACCCGAATGCGTGTGCCCAGCTGCACCTGGTACCCCGATTACCACAAACCCTACTACACCAAACTTTCGATGTCATCAACATGAAACCTTTGGCATTCGCTTGAATTATGACGTCTTCAGGAAAAGTCAGCCATAGGAATTTCTGTGAGATATTATGTTCTGCTGGCTAATGCTGACCTCACAGTTTCTTCCCCTTGATATTCGAGAACAGGCTATGATCAACAAATCGAATGATTTTCTCTTTAACACAGAGTAATCTGTCTGCTCCTGAATAAATTGCATCCAATTTTTCTTGGCATAATGGCTTCCTCTTTCGATGAAATGAGCTTTTTGTATTTCTGAAAAATGTATACAATGTTGACTGCTAGCTGAGATAACAACTTTTGAATTCAGATATTGGTAGAGTGGATGTAAAACAGCAACTCGTAATTAATAAGATATTGATTGGTTCAGCCTCATCTAATCATAGACCACATAATAAATCATAAGGTGCTTTGCAATTAGGAAAATCCATACTAAATAACAAAGTGCTGTTATCTTAGTAACCCTAACAAGCGTGGAGCAATGCATCATGCAATAATTGCTACCGTACAGGTGCACCTGTTTAGAGCAACTTTTCGACAAACCCCTTCTCACAGAAACTGCCATACTACTGGCTAAAGGGCAAAGGTGACATACTCAGCCAATATCCCCAAAACACTTGTTTCTCCTCCAGGAATTTTCCATATTGTCAAATACTGGAAGAGCTTTCTCCCTCTGCCTGCTCACAGGCAGTGATTAAGAGCTCCATTATTTCAGCCATACCCACCAGCATCACATTTATAGAGCTTTCCAGACTTCTATTACCAACCCTAGCAAAGGACTGGCTAGAAAGCAAAATTGAACCCGCTGAGGACAAAACTGACATAAAAATACTTCAGCCTGAAAGTAGGTATTCTTTTTATGAAGAGCTTTTCCCATTTACTTAAAAAATATACATACATACATATATATATATATATATATACATACATATATAATATTTTATTTACATTTGCCAACTACTTCACAGAAAAAAGAATATGGAAGAGAATTGTGTTACTCTTTTTGGCTTTTGCTTACATTATTTCTAATAAAATAAGACACTGAAAATATTTATATTGGATTATTCACTTGATAGTTTTTTTCTTTTGTGACGCGTTTCAGTTTATGCTGTGAAAAGTTAAAAGCCTGTGGGCTCAATTGGTGGCATGACTTGATTGAATAGTGTTTGTGAAATACCCACGTTAGGGCTAAAAAGTGTCTTTGGACCGTTGGATCCAGTAGCCACTTATGAGATGAGGGAATTGAGGACAGAGCCATTTTCCGAGGTCCCGGCCAACGTGGGTGACAGGGCTGAGAGCCAAATGCAAGCCCACAGGGAGACCTGATGAATGGCGGGCGGCCTCCTTTGAGACCTTCAGGCCCCCAGCTCCGTCAATTTCCAGCACTCTGGCTCAGCTCAGACTGGCCCAAAGCTGAGCCGCTGGACGTCACTTCCAGGACCCGGTGTGGGTCGCCCTTACGGTCACCACGCCCTAGTCACTGGTGCCGGCTGAGCGGCTGCCACCTCCGCAGGAACCGTGCGGGCCTCCGTTTACCATCATGGCGGGGGTGGAGCGAGGGCTACCAACCACGCAAAGCCCCCGGGAGTCCACCACCAAAACAGCAGGATGCGAGGCCGAGGCAGAAGGACTGCGAGTTCCTTTAGAGACGTAGCGAGGCCCTGTCTCGAAAAATGCAGAGGGCTGTGGATGAAGGGGTGAAAGCCCTGGTTTAAATCACCGGGAACAAGCAAGCAAGCAAGCAAGCAAGCAGCGCATCTGAAATCCGGGACATTGCGGCTCCAGCCCTCAGCTCAACCCCAGAGGTGACTACGCCGAGACAAAAGCATTCAGCTTGGAAGATCATGCATCTTCTTCACTAGTCCCGTGTTTTATTTGATTAAATTATACAGCCTCTAAGTGACATAGCTCCCGCCTTCCTGATAGTTCTGTCTTTCCAATTTGCTGGCGTCTGACTCGGAGGCCGATAAAGAAACAAAGTATCCAAAGCATTCCTTTGTTCAAGATATACATCCAAGTTATTTTAGCACAAAACACAGTCACTGATTTAAAAAAGTCTCTTGCCAATGCTGTTTGACAGGGTGGCTATAGAAATAACGCGTTTTATGTACTGGAGAGTTATTCTAAGTGTCCTTATCACCGGAAATTGAAGCATTTGAGGTGTTACAAGTGTTCACTATCGCCCTTTAGCCACATCACACTATCAAACTATTGATCACGATGTATGCCAGAAATAGATACGATTTTTGTCATTTAAAAATAAATTTAAAAACCAAAAATAATATAGAGAAAGTTTTTTGTTTTTTTAATGCCACAGCCAAGAGAAATCTGAGACAAGTAAATGTAAGGTGATATCAAAGAAAGAGGACCTCAGGTAAAATCTAAGGAAATATGAATAAAGTGTAGACTTTAGTTAATAACGATGTGTTAGTTAATAACGATGTGTCAGTATTGGTTCTGATCTGTATCGACTGGGAGAAATGTACCATACTCATATCAGTCATTAACAACAGGAAAAAACGGGGGGCGGGGTCATCGGAACACTCAAAATACTAGCTCGGAATTCTCAACTTTCCTGTAGATCTAAAACTATGATAAAAATTTTAAAAAATAATAAAAAGAGAAATGTGCTGAATGAAAGAAGCCAGTCGCAACAGAACATATATCACAGGATTCTGTTCACATAAAGCATCCATAAGTAGGCAGCATAAGGGACCTGGAGGGGATGGGCGGTTGTTTAGGACAGCAGGGTGGAGGATAAGATGGGGGTGTTAAGGAGCACAGGCTTTCTTTTGGAGATGACAAAATATCCATGTTCTAAAAAGTAACTCCAGGGATGGTTGCACATACCAACAAAGATACTAAAATCATTAAATTATGCACTTTTCCATAGTAAATTATATGAAATGGTATTTACATCTCAATAAAACTACTAATAAAGTTGCTATAAACTAATTGAAATTACAGAGCACTATTGAGATGTATGGGGTCAGTAATGAGTCCTTTTTCAATGCATGTTTTCAAAGAGCCAATAAAACCAACACTAAATATGAGCCTTCATTACATATCCATATTCAAAGAAATGGATTTTTATTGAAAATATGGTCACTCCAATCTCCTTTCTGTAAATAAAAGTCTATATAAATTTAAAGGCCTGATGAAAAGCAAATGTATTATTTAAATTTAAATGTTCAGATGAAATCACTTTTATTATAAAAGCTTACAGAAAAATACAATGCATATAAAAATACCTACTATTCACTATGCTAATTGGTAGAACTTGTGGCACT